TATTTATAAAAATCAGATTACTTACAAAAAAAAACGAAAAAAAAAGAAAAAAAAATGTCATTAGCGCGTCTCTATGTTGACGAGTACAATATTTGTAATCTGAAAGAGTTTGCTAAAACTTTTAGAGTAATATTTACATTTACCGTACGTATTAGACGTATAAGTGAAATGGAAATTTGACTGTATTGATATACTAATTAGTTCAATTCAAATGAAAGCAGGCAATAGATAGTTAATTAAGCGCATCTTCTAATACCGCATCCAAATATCCACCAATCTGATCCTCCCAAATTAATGGTGTTCTAGAACGTGATTTAGGGCGTTTAGACCAATTCGAGCAAAAAGAAAAACTTCAAGACGTAGGACCCATTTAGCCAAGCATGTTTTGACGCATGGAAAGTTGGAAACACGTCTTTGTGCCGACGGTTCTTGCAAGGAATCGAAGGCGGTGTTTATGTGTCGGAGGGAAAAGGTCAGAAATTTAGGTATTTGCCGACCTGCTCAGGACCTTCGGTTTCAATCCGAAAAAATAATTCCTTTGGCGTCTCTTAATTTCTGAACTCGTGATCATAACAATTGTATTAAAAGTGAAATCTCAAACTTGACAATAATTTTAGGACGGAGGAAGTATTATTTTTTTTAATTTCCTACATGAAAATACATTTTGTGTGTGATGAATGCATGATTCCAAAATCATTGGTCACCAACTCTTTTTAGTTTAGCAAGCGTAAGATAACCAAATCCAATTATTTACTTCTTTTCACTCCTAAGTAAAACTAATTTCTTCCAGAATATTATTACCGCACCTAACACCTTCTTGCCACATTTTTTTTACTTTTATTATATCAATTGTTTTTAACCATTAATACATTTATAATTTACTAAAAATTTCCGGTCCTATTTAGTTGGAGTAGGCAGGCAAAAGATTATCATATAGTAATATAGTAGTATTCTATTCCTATTCATAAATGATAAAATAAAACTAAAATCGGTTTAAAGTTGTGCCTCTGTAACTAAAAAGGGAGGGAGTAATTATTTTATTTTTCAGGAAGAAGGAAACCATCCAAAATTCAGAAAATACTATTGTCACGTAACAAAAAAACAGTATAACAATAATTATTATTTTTAATGGTTTTTTTCCCCTTTCCGAATCATAATGAATACACATGGATGTAAATAGAAAACTTTGCACTAATTATACTACAAGATTAATAAAATAAATTATACTACAAGATTAACAAAAAAGAAACCACTTGGTAAACCACCTAGGGGAGTGAACCAAGCGCAATGGACGATTCTAAAAGTCAACAATTATTATAATATTATAGTTGTAAAATATAGTGCATCTTGTTGGGATATTTTTCCTTTTACAATTTTTTTAAAAAAATTTATTAAAATATCAATTTCCAGTTGATTATATTGAGAGATTTAATATCAGGAGAATTCATCTAACTTGGCACTGCACATACGATACGTAAAATGTAATTTTTCACTTTATACTCGTTAAGTATAGTAAGTAAATTAATTTAATGAATTCTTTAAAAAAGTAAGGTTGTTCGTTAATGTGATCAAATCTATATCTATATATACTATACTAAGGCAAAAACCAGAGAGAGAAAATTAAAGGTATGGAGCACATGCCACATAAGATTAAATCCTACGTGGCATTTTCTTAATTTCTTAGACTTAAAAATGCACAAAACAAAATAATAAAATCAAAAAAAAAAACAACTAAAATCTATCTATCTATCTATCTATATATCTATCTATCTATCTATATACTATACTAAAGCAAAAACCAGAAAGAGAAATCTAAAGATATGGAGCACATGCCACATAGGATTTAATCCTATGTGGCATTTTCTTAATTTTTTAGATTTAAAAATGCCTAAGGTAAATTTGTAATATCATTAAGAAAAAAAATAGATACCCACTATAAAGTAATTGTAGGATATTATTAAAAATAAGTTGAGAGAGATCAAATTTAAATATGCAAATAACTTCAGTGATATTACTAATGTGGTAAAAAAAATGATCCTACCTTAGAATCAACGAAAAAAATGATTCTACCATAGAATGTCATTAAAAATAAGTTTAATGATTTTGATTTAAATTATTGCAAGATATATAATTATTCAATTCGAAGTTGAATGCTTTTTTTTTCTTTTCTCAACATTCCACATTATGCTGAAAATATCCATATTACATATGTTTTTGTTTATCTATTTTATATTTTCTTTATGAATGAAGCCATTATAAAAAAGGTACAATACATTTATAACTAGTATTTTTGTTTTTCATAGAAAATTCATCTAATAATGAATAATTTCATTTTCTCTATATTATGATTTATATTTTATTTGGTAGAAATTTTCATCCATTAAATCTCTATTTTATAATTTTCATTTAAGTTTATTTGGCTGTCCGATTAACACCTTTAAATTAACAAATCATTTTATTTCCCACGTCCAGCTTTTTACCATGACCAATTATATGTCGCCTTATCAATAGTCACTTCAAGACAAGGAATCAAGAACCTAATATGCGATGAATGTGGAAACGTCAATTTAAGACTATGAATTTCGTTCATAGAGAAGTATTGCAGGACATTTAATCATTCAATTCAAAGTTAATTATTTTTTCTTTTTTATATTCCCTTTTTTTTAGATTTTTTTAATAATTCTCTTTGCATTAAATAAATTATTACCATTTTGTAAAGTGTTGTTGATGTTTGTGTTTTATATTTTTCAATGAAATAATTATATAATTTATAATTAACATTTTATAAAAGTACAAAATCCATAGAAATAGTGATATTTTTATTACTTTACTTGTATTGTAATGTCTATATGTACATGTTCTCCCCGTCCATCGGACGGGTCTAACACTTAGTAATTATAAAAAAAAAAAAAAAAAGACAGAACCCTTACTTTCATGAACCAAATCCTAACACAGAGATTGATTGGAGAGAGTACCAAATCCTAATAAATTTTAGAGAGGTCTGCATAAATCTTATCACCAGTGAATTTAAAATATCATTTAAAAAAATAAATTCCTGTAAATCCAGAGGTAATCATGTTTAAAACTGAAGTCATTATATATTTTATAAAAATACAAAATTTATGTAAAAATGTCTAAATGTGTATGCCTTCTCCGTCCATCAGACGGGTCTAACACCTAGTAAAAGAGTAGTAATAATCTGTTAAAATTTGGATACATCGAGTGCTTGAAATTATCACTAGTAAGATACTCAAAGCCTCAAATTATAGATATACGTAAAAAAATTTCGGTGATTTTGCTTTTTACGGTTTTTTTACAAATTTCGGTGCATATTTACTCGATTCGAATTTCGTATCAATAATTCATTTTTATTTATCTAAAAATACACAAGGCGGAAGAAGTTGCAAGTATTCGTGTCTTAACAAATTATAAATTGAATCCCAGGAGAGAAATTATTTCACCCATACGCTACCTCGTGGCTGCATTCTTTTATCTGGAAAGGGAATCAGGGAAACGAAATCTCATTTCTGATAAGAAAACAATAATTCATTAAAGAAATCTTTCATTACCTTTGACATGTTTCAAATATGCATTAGAATAGGCATTATTTGACGATTGATGTGTTTCTTTTTCTTACATAGGTATGGGAATGAAAATTTTAAATTTTAAATAAATTATAAGAAAAAAATAATTTGCACAATAATAATTATAAACATAATACAAATCAGAAAATAGAACCACATTTCACCCACACAAAATTTTAACAGGCCTAATTTAGTATATCCTTTTGAGTTTTTTTCCCCTATTTGAAATTGAAAAAATAAATAGAGTAATCAGGTGGGATTATGATTACTTGGGGTAGATTATTTGATTACAAAGGAAAACTAATATCTTTCCCATTACTTTTTATGAAACGGTGTAATGATAAAAAACAGAATTAAATTGCCATTGATTTCATTCCCATTACTGTGAAAAGAACGTAGCTTGTGAGTTTCTACAAAGAACTTTGTTAATTTTGTATCATTCGGGGTTAGCTGATTTCCAGCAAGTTTAATATATAATCTATTTCTTAAAAAAAAAAAGAACTTTGCTAATTTTTGTTCATAAACTGCCAGAAACTTTACTAATTTTGGTTCATAAAATTGTACTCTACTTCAAGTTTTCTATTGATAAAGACAATTTATTACTCCAATACTCCTACATTGTTTCGTTTTTGTTTTTGTGTTTGTAAGCCGTTTTCAATTATACTTCTATGAATGAATGAATCACTTGAATTTTTTTAATTTTTTTTAATTTCAATTCCATCTTTCGTAGTACCTAGACTTCAGTACTTCAAGCTACAGCAAATAAACCAAGACACTTAAAATAACAAGTTTAAACTGATTGTTGATGTAAAAATTAAATTCAATTATTACGAATCTTTTGAGAAAAAGCGGATATAGTCGATATCAATAATACACAGAAACTGTTTGTTGATGTAAAAATTAAATTCAATTATTAGGAATCTTTTGAGAAGGAGCGAATATAGTCGATATCAATAATACACACAAATTGAAATGTGATATTATATGTATGTAACTATGTATACACTGTGGTTTACAGGCAATTACAGTGGGTGTTGATTTACCCATATATCTAGTGTGTGTTGGTATACACTGAGTTGATTGCGTTGATTTACCAAAAAAACAAAAACTATGTATGTAAACGGTGGATCACTGCAATTTAATTTTGGACACGTGAAATACAGAGGGGAAAAGAGAAGTAAATGCACACGCCGTTATAGAATTGGACAATGCCATCAAGAGCAGCACAACAAAGTGAAATTCTGAGAATCCAGTTCGTTTTTTCCATAGTACTACTAACTAATAATGACACTTCATATTTACCAAATCCAAACTTAATTTCTTAATTACATTAATGTACATTCATGGTTCATTCACCCACTTTTATTTTTTTCCCCTTTCTTGTGTTCCGCTTGAAATAAAGGATTGTATTTAAATCGGGAGTACAACTTAATTTAGGAAATAAATAAAAAAAATCAAAATACAAAATAAATTCAACAAATCTCAAACTTTTTTCTAAATCACACCGTAATTAATTGGATTAGTTTAACCCACTAAATAAGATATATTAAAAAACCGAGTCAAAGCTTTCCCCTAAACACAAAAATCACGCAGTCACGCACTCTCCTTGCTTTCGGACTCTTTCAATCAATACATATTTCGCCTTCTTCTTCTTCTTCTCACACACTCTCTTCACACCACCCTTCACTTTGTTCTTCTACTGTAACGCCTCCTCTGTTTTCCGTTCCAATTCCTCCCCCCTGCTTCACTAAACCAAAATCCCACCTCAATTAACGAACCGGATTTTCGATTGATTCATTCATTGATCTGGGCTGATTTCTGGGGGTGAAAAAATGGGCAAAGGAGGGGCGGCGCCGAGCGACAGTGTCCTGCAGAGGATTTTCCTGTCATACCTGTACGTAACGATCTGGATCGCATTATCATTCAGTGTGATTGTGTACAACAAGTTCATCTTGGATCGCAAGATGTACAATTGGCCCTACCCGATTTCACTCACCATGATCCACATGGCTTTCTGCTCCTCCCTAGCCTACCTCCTTGTCCGGGTGTTTAAATTGGTTGAGCCCGTTTCCATGTCCTGGGATCTCTACTTCAAATCCGTGGTCCCAATTGGGTTCCTTTACGCGGTATCATTATGGCTTTCTAATTCTGCTTACATTTATTTATCCGTTTCTTTCATTCAAATGCTTAAGGCTTTGATGCCCGTTGCTGTTTATTCCATTGGGATCCTTTTTAAGAAAGAGAACTATAAGAACAATGTTATGGCTAATATGGTCTCGATCTCTATTGGGGTCGCCATTGCTGCTTACGGCGAGTCCAAATTCGATGTTTGGGGTGTGATTTTGCAGCTGGGTGCTGTTGTTTTTGAGGCCACCAGGCTTGTTATGATCCAGGTTTTGTTGACCTCAAAGGGTATTAGCTTGAATCCAATCACCTCCCTTTATTATGTTGCGCCTTGCTGTTTGATCTTCTTGTCTGTCCCATGGATTGTTGTGGAGTACCCTGTGTTGAAGGAGACTTCGAGTTTCCATCTTGATTTTCTTGTGTTTGGGACCAATTCGTTCTGTGCATTTGCCTTGAATCTGGCCGTGTTTTTGATTGTTGGGAAGCTGTCTGCTTTGACCATGAATGTGGCTGGGGTGGTTAAGGATTGGTTGTTGATTGCCTTCTCCTGGTCTGTGATTAAGGATGCCGTGACGTCTACGAATTTGTTGGGCTACGCATTGGCTTTCTTGGGTGTCTGTTACTATAATTATGTCAAATATCAGAATATGGTTAAGGCCAAGGAAGCTGAAGAAGCACAGAAGAAGGTGGCCCAGGCTGATGAAGAATCCGGCCGGTTGCTTGAGGAGAGAGAAGGCACTGAAGGTTACTTGAATAAGAAGGAGGACTCACAGGACTAATTTTACTTGTTTCCCATAGGCAGGATAAGTAGAAAAGATAAGAAAGCAGGGGACTTGGTTAGATTTGTCATCCTTTCATGTTTAGTAGGAGATTATTTCGCATCATTCCCTGCTACGCTTCCTGAGTTTTGTTGTTAGTTAATATTGGGGTTCAGCACATTTAGTGTTGGTGATATGAGGTTGGTGTTCATTCTCAAATTGCCAAATCATGAATGTGACTTGAGAGTGACTTGAGGCTCTTTATCTTTTAGCTTCTAATATCAATATTTCAGAACTTTTTCCTCTTTAGAATTTTGGATGCTTCTTTGATTCATTATTATTTATGAAATTTGTTTAGTTGGTAATCGATGGTGTTCTCTGCCAGGACGATATTTCTTAGGTAACATTAGAGTGCAGCATTTTTCTTTCTCATTGATTTAGGAATGTTGTTAAGTTGTGATGTATGACTGAATCTGTCCAAAGAGTTAAATTTGATTTCCCTTCAATCGATGGCAGAATGTACGAGATTGTAGTCAATTTGCTGGTTTGTGATGGTGTTTATGGTTGATATCGTATGGCAATGATGCCACTTCTTAGCAGATGTATGCTCGAATTTAAGTTCTTGACTCAGTTGGCGTTGAGATCTGTGTGATAAATTTCGGAAGTTTTCAGGATATTTATTTCAGTTCTCTAGTCAGGGTTCTGATTGTCCATCTGATTTCTATAGTAGTGTTTCACTGGAAAAGTTCATCTATTTAGGATAGCATGTGAACACTTTACAACTTCGGTGTAGTTCTATGGAAATTAGTTTACTTCTTGAAGGACTCTGCATTTATCACTAGTTGGAGTCAACAAACTTGTTCTGTTTAGATTGTGGAGGAGTAAAATTGTTGTTTAGAGTGGAGTTCCTAGTATTCTATATTAATATAGATTTTGACGCTTTATCATACTGCTGGCGCCCTCAAAACCATTGCTAACCTTGCTTAAATATCAGCATGTAGTTGCACTTTTGGTGTCAATGTTTTCTACAGCAAAACTCTAAGCCGATCTGGGAAAACTCAGCTGATCTTTGATTCATTCATTTTTACATATGCTCATATGAATCGCATTGAAGGCCCTAGGATACTCTTACGTTTGGAATGTTTCCCAATGTAATGGAAGTGAATCTTTGCGTGTGCAAGGACTGATGTCATGACATCTGGAAAGCTCCCAGTTATCGTCTATTGAAGCTTTAAGTTTCTTATAAATCTTGTAGACCTAACAAGCATTTTTTGTGTGAGCAAGTGTCATGTGATTCTTTAAGCTTAATTTTAGCTGAAGCATTAGTAAAAGCCAAGGCACGCAATCTGTAAAGGACTAAGCAAGAAGATGATCACGATCTTCCCCAAGGACCCCAACTATTCAATTGTGGGACTTATCTAAATTGATATGCAAGAGAATGAAGAGATTATTTAGAGCCCAGAATGCTGTAAACAGAGAAGTTAAACCCTGTAGGAGAGCGTCAATTAACTTTAAATTTCACAATCATGGTATTTCAAAGCTTGCTAAGGAAAGAATATTTTACAATGAAACCATGCAGCAGCTCGCAAATGTAAACGTTGTAACAAAATGGATGAATTCAGACAATGCTCAAACATCTGCAACAGTAGAAGTGTTGCAGGGGATTAAACCGACTGAAATACACTAGCATTTCTCCTCAGCAGTGCCACCATTCACTGCGGGATCTGTTTCAATGGGTTTGTTGGACTTAAAGAAAACTGCACAAATCATATACAGAGCGAAGTTTATGACTCCTAGGATGGCGAGAAGCGCATAGAAAAGATCAAGCCTTCCGTAGTTGATATTGTCAGCGAGCCATCCTTGACCATCACTAGTTCCGGTCACGTTTTTAACAATGGAGACGAGAAGGCTACTGAAGAAGAAACCGAGTGATATTGTTGTTAAGAAGAGACCGGTGCTCATTGATTTCATCCCTTTTGGTGCATTAGTGATGAAGAAATCCAGTTGTCCTGTGTATATGAATGCTTCTGCTGAACCAACCAAGAAAAATTGGGGGATCAAGTAGAACACACTTATGGGCAGAGTAGAGATACTGCGCCCTGCAGATTTTGCTACCGACAATCTTTTCATCTCAACTAAAGCTGCAGTTGCCATCCCGAATGTGGAGAGTGCAAGACCAATTCCCATTTGCTGAAGGTTGCTGAAACCTGCAGTCAAAAAAGACCCTCATAACTCCTATGATCAACCATCAAAATGCAAAAAATATGGTTCTGCAATGAATGTCTTAAGTTCTGAATGTGAAATCTGAACGGTGAACATGTCAAACTCTATGAAATTCAGCTTGCAGGATGGCAAGTACCTGGTTTTCCTTTCCATTTCTTCCACATTGGCATGATCAGACGGTCATAAATGCCCAAGGTGATCAAAATGGCTAAAACGAAAAATACAGTGAGGGATCCTGCGGGGATCAGGAAGTTGCCGACGGTTCTGTGCATGGTGGAAGCTTGTTGGACAGAAAAGGTGATCATTTGTGCATAAGCAGTCCAGAAAATGATTGTTGTAGCCCAAATTGGAAGTAATTTGGCCATCATTTTCACTTCCTCAACCCTTGTGACTGTGCATAGCTTCCAAGGATTTGGAGCTTGAAGAACTTTGCTCCCAAAATCTTCTTTTTCCACGATTGCAGCCTTGTCCAAGAAACTAAAACGAAAAGGCATAATCAAGAATGTCACTAAAATAGTTGCAGAAAACTTACAATTGTTGTGGAAATGACAAAACTTTTCAAAGATTACACTCACCGGAACTGATCAGTGTGAGGGATTCTAGCCGGTTCAAGTGTAGTCTCATATAATAAGCCAATATCATTAGGAACATCCAGCTTTCTCTTCCTAATAGCAGCAGCAATGACCTGGAAAATCTGAACTATGGGGCTTCCCATGCTTTTCTTGTACCTGTATTTCTTCGTCCCCGAAAAGAAGATCATCACAGCAATTGTCATTGACACAGTACAAATCCCATAAGCCAAGCTTCGGCTCACATGATCTTCAAGGTACACAAGGACAGTAACTCCTGTCAGTGTTCCAAGGCTGATGAAGAAAAAGAACCTGCCGAAGAAATACTTCATCTGTGCATTTTCCCTTTCATCTTTTTCATCAAATTGATCAGTTCCAAATCCTGAAACACTTGATTTTAGCCCTCCAGTGCCTAATGCTATAAGGTACAAAGCAATGTAAAGAATTCCCATTTGAAACCCATTGGCTGGTTTACAGTCACCATTAGCACCACAGGGAGGCGGTCGCAGCTCAGGAAGTTTTGTTGTTATCGCCAACACACCGGTTCCCTGAATGAAATTCAATTCATTTCATTAACAATTTCCTATCCAATGTAGAGTAATCATAAGTAATTTTGTAAGATTAAAGGAAGCAGATAAAATATCTACTCACAATGATCTGAATTATGGTGAAAACAGCAATGGTTTTGTATCTGCCAAGAAATGCATCAGCAAGAAATCCCCCAAGCAGACAAAGCATAAATGAAGTTCCCAAGTAATCTGTCACAATGTTGGCTGAAGCTGCACTTGGGAGATGCATGGTTGCACCCAAGTAAGTTACCAGGTTCACTGAGATTCCCAGAGTTGAAAGCCTCTCAACAACTTCAATTCCTGTAAACACATTTTTGTTCAGCCAATTCAATTCATAAAACTAGTGGAATCAACAAAGATCATCATGTTATGTTTGCCTAAAATCACCATAAACAAATCCTTCATTTTTTAATTTTTTTTTTATAGTTTGATCCAATCATAATGTGTCACAGTCTCCTACTCCTAGTAAAATTCTGATGTAGTAACATCAACATAGTATGTGACATGAATGAAAAGCACTGGAAGTGATTCTGCATTTCTGAAACTTTGTTCATCTTTCTGTTGAATGGCATGAATAAGTTGAAGTGGAAATTGCATGCATGCAAAACTGAAAAAGGATATGATTTAATCATGAAATCCAGATAGAATCATAGAAGGAAAAAAAAAATAAAAAAATTGCAAGATACCTAAGATAAGTGCGGCAGGAACCCAACCACCAGTTTGACTTCTGTCAGCAGGCATCCCTTTGTAGTTGACAACATCTGGAGAAAGGCTCCATCCCATCTTCCCCTCTTTCGACATATTCAAAACCAATCAAGAAGTTAATTTCAGGGTTGTTTTCTCAAAATGGTAAATGATTTTGACTACTAACAATACTGAGGAGCTATACTAAAGCTTTTGCAATAATGCAGGAAATGTAATTAAGAAGGACTTGTTTGCTCTGAATGAAACCACAGAAGGTGGATCCTTTTATAGGCAAGAAAGACTTGAAAGCTGACCCGCCATTTAACTTTTTTCAAGATCTTCTGAAAACAGAGCACTCTGTTTGGTTGAGGATTAGGCTTATCACACTTTTTTGGTAACAGAACCTTCTAGCTCGCACTATACTATTACTGATTAGCTTAAGTGTGTGTGTGTGTGTGTGTGTGTGTGTGTGTGTGTGTGTGTGTGTGTGTATGTGTTTTATTTATTTATTTATTTATTTTTTTGGTGATCAGGTTCATGATCACCAATGTGCTTCTTTCTTTCTTTCTTATCAGATATGTGTAACAGAGGAAATGTGGGAAGAGCTTAAGGGAAGAAAAAGGTGATGTTGATTTTTGTTTTTTGAGAGAAAAAGGTGATCAAAGAGGTGTGGAAAGTGAGATTTTTCAGAAAAAATTGGTGTGTTTTGTAGCTGAAAAACATAAATGCATTTCCAGTTGTCTTGTAACTATAACACATGGCTTGGTTTCAATTATGAAGTATAACCCACAGTTCGATCCTTTTCCTGTCACTGTTTATCTGTTTGGACGATAAGATACGCGTCTACATGAGTTCTTTGGAAGTTTTTTGCAGCATATTCAGTCCTTTATGACCACAAAGAGATTCACCTTTTTGTTCTGTTTGGTACCCTTATATTTTTTTTTGTGGTACATAATGCTAACTTGTGACACATAAATCTCAGGCTATAGAATGTGGACATTTGTAAAAGTTTAAGGACAAACCCGTATCTCGCGTTTTTGTGTATCAATCGTATTTTATTAGTAAGAAAAATTCTCGTTCAAAAGAAACAAACAATGCATATGTACTACATTTTCAGAGGTCAGACTGAACATAGTTTTTACCTTATTCAAGTTAAATGAATGTCCTTTTATTGGTGGGACAACAAGTGATAATAATAGAAGTCGGGACAAAAAATTTGCTCTCGTGGGGTTTTCAAGACCGGTCCATATACATACATCATTATTAGAATTTTCATTCGTAGATTCATTGAAGTTAGGGATAGTTTTACCTTTTTATTCTAAGCAAGCAACGTTATTTCACCGATTCGGTACAAGTAATCTACAGACTTGGGACATAAGTATCTTTTATCAAGTTCTCCTAAAGTTTCACTACCTATCCAAATACATGAATCATTCTTGAAATGTGTATATGTAGTTTCAAACTAAGGTATAATTTTTTATTTTTAATTTCTATCTCTAGTAAAATGGCGTTTTTTCCACAATGAAACATTATTAACTCACAGAAGAAAAGCCAAATTTCATAACTATACTCATTCCATTCCAGAAAAAATACACAATATAATTGTAAATTATTCTGTTTTTAGTACAAATCACAAACTACACGATAGAACTGTATTTTTGGGAGGAGTATAAGAATTGAGAACCATATTAAGATATGTTGACTGGTTAGTTGTTTAAGTCGGCATTTCCAGTATCTCGTGTTTTTGGGAAAAATAGAAAAGTCATTTTCAACGTGAAGAAAAGTAGTTATTTTGAGTACCCGCCGAGGCGCCGACCTTTGTATTGTGGTCACTAATCATATAGAGAAGTGCCAACATCAAAACAAAGGGATTTGAGGAATGAAGGAATTAGGGAATCATTCCTCGACAAATCACTACCTGCTGGTAGTATTCAAATCGATGATACTTTAACGTTACATGGAAAAATAGCCTAGTCAATTGAAGGGTTTTTTTTTTTTTTTCCTATGGCTGAGAATGGGTTTTAGGGTTATGTTTCGTGTTCAAGTTATGTTGTGCAAATTTGGTCCTCTATTTTTCAACGACTACTTTTTGCAATTATTGATTCAATAAATTAATTAAATATAACTTCACCCCAAATGCATTGATTACAATTGGCAACAAATTTTCGTATAAAACACAAAATGCGGTTGTTGAAGGGCAAGTCACATTCAACTAAGAAACAGATAATTGTTAGAGTCAAGTGATAAAAAATTTGTATTCCTTAAATATATTAACTATTGAAGCTTATAAATGTGGACAATAATACAATAGAACACTACATCAACCTTGGATCGAGCTGACGAGTATCCGGTAATTATAAGCCCAACCGACTCTGTTAAGGCGGTTTGAGCAGCACGAAACTTAATAGGATTCGAATACCCTCCAGGCAACTCTATGCCTATAAATAGGGTTGGTCACACCACAATTGAAGTTCGCTATCTCTAATACCAATTCTCATACACGCGTTTACTCATAACCCTATTTCTGTCTTGAGCATCGGAGTGTCTACCCTCGGAAGACCCCCGAGGCTCTGTTTTGCAGGAAACCCGAGCCGGCGTTCCACTATTAAACCGGTGATACAATCCCAGATTTCGTCACGAGCAGAGATTTTATTAATACTCACTCTGTCCCAAAATTAATACTGTCTAGTTTACATTTTTATTTTTAGTTTTAGGAACTTAAAGTGAAAATGCAAATTAGATAATAATTTTGGAACTGAGGAAGTATGAGTTTGATATATAAAATTCACTAATCGCTCAAGATGATCAACAAAAAGTGAGAATGTACTTCCAATCAGCCATTGAAAGTAACTAATCCTTGCATTCCAACCAAAAAAATAGAAGTAGAATAAATCTGACTTGGCCCCTCGATTTCGATCGATGCCTTATCTTCTCCATTTGATCTCCATCTAAAAAACGTTTTATCATCTTCGATCGTTAGATTTCGTCATTTCAATTTAGTACTCCAATGAATGGATGGAGTCTGTCGAGTACGAAGTTGAGGCTCCGACGTTCCAATAATTATGTTATTGAAAAAATTAGAAGAAATGAAGATAACAAAAAATAAATTAGAGGTTAGAACTTAGAACACCTGACTCAAAGTATAGACTATACTATTGGCTGCTAAATTTTTGGCTTATAATTTTTGAATTTTGGAGTTGAATATTGGCTGCTGAATATGAAACATGCACAATAATAGAAGAGGCACGCACATTAAGTTTGAAGAGATAAGGAGATTTTATAACTTCTTGTAGTATTTGTCCATTACTGATCATTCTATTGGTTTTCCTTCAATAGTCCTATTCCAGCAAGACTATTAATCATTAACAACAACATTATCTTTAGTATTAACCATATATATATATATATATATATATATATATATATATATACACACACGCTAATAAAGTAACTACGATAGAAACATGGTCAATTTTACTATGAATTATAAATAAAATTTAGCTTTAAGAACTATGGAATAAAATTAATGGTTTCTTGGAGGGTTATTGTTACATTGGATTCAAAATTCAGTAAACTCAATCCGTCAAGCAGTAGCATTATTAAACTACAAAAGGAGGTAATTAGTAAATTATTATCTTAATTAAACGTATAAGATTTTAGTGACCAGACTCATAGTTTGAAGGGAGCATTACTGCAAATGTATATTCTAGAATTTTCTAGAATAGGATTCTCTTGTACTATATGTACAATATCTTTGTATCATAATACATCAACTTAGGGTGCCCAGAACTCTCAATAATAGAAGGAGAATCGAAATTCAAATCCCATTTGTAGACATCCGAACCATCAACTGATCCCGAAATCCCTTTGTTCCTTTCCAATTAATTGTTCTCCAAAAGAGTGTATTGACAATGAAGTCATAAATTAGGGCTAATGTCTGTGGTTGGAAATGATGAGAAATGTCAAGAGTTGCATCCATTTAACAGAGACATTCTTGCCGTCCCAAAATAATTATTCCGATTTATCGTACTATATGTAGCAAATTAATTAAACATAATCATATATGTTGCATGTGGGAGTAGGAAGGTCAACCAACGTAAAACTAATAATGCACATTGCCATAACAAAAGGCAGCCACTTTGAGCAACATATAACGTGAAAATCCTTGCATGCCCGCCAGCCCTGAAAAAGATCAATCGATCGATTCTCCCCATATTGATTGATAATAATGCAAATAAACAAATCCCATCTCCATAAAGCAACCAAAACCCCTGTATCAATATCAACTCCTTTTTTTTCACACTCCTCCACTATCTAAAATCCATTTCTTAAAAATAATATTCCTTGTATATTCATTTCGAATTTTGACCCATAAACTCCCTGAAACTAGAAAAATAATTCTCCATCTTTTTGAGTGGTGCCAGGAGATTGGAAGTTCCTACCGCTATGGAGCCTTTTTATTCTTAAAATTAATATAAAAATGTATTATTAGGGTTGAAAATTTGAAAAAAGGTATGCTCTTATAGCTAGCTAGGCAGTAGTACTCCTTGGATAATTTAGTTTATATTTAATTCGGGTGTGTGATTTTTGTTGAAATACGAATCTTTACTATCTGCCCACTTTAGTTTGTCTTCCACTCTCCCATGTTCAAACATAATAGTAATTTGTCCCGGTCGTTAGTAATTTCATTTGGGGTATATGATTAGGAGATAATGAATTGCATGCAGGAATCGACGCGGCAAAAAAACACTCATTAAGAAAATATATATCTATTATGCAAACGTTGGCTAAGCGAGTGTGGGATTAAAAAACACTCATTATTTTTATATGATGAGGATAAGGTTAAGCGAGTGTGGGATTAAAACCATAAAGTCGGGAAGTTCAAACGTTGGCTAGAACCAACAATAACAACATGAACAAAACTTATATCTCGTTAGATATATTTATCTGTCCCAAAATTATTGTCTAGTTTGAGATTTTACTTTTAATATAATAATAATTTTTAAGTTAAAAGCGAAAATTTAAATTGGACAATAATTTCGAGACATAGATGATATAAAAATTGACTGTATGAATTATATAAGATTATCATCATGCATGTTGGATCAAATTTAGGTGAAAACAAATAAGAAGTCATTTTATGGTTTAAATTTAGTATCTCTATCATTACCATTTATTGTTTGTTGACAAATATGAAATCCAGTCCCATCAAATTGCCAGTACTGAATTGTATACTACTAACAAGATCACGGGAGTGATATTTTTCGATTTAAACATAGATAGATAACATGGAACCCCCACTAGATAGACCCTCTTTCCCCACAATTATTGATCAAGTTGTTGAGTAATAAGAGATATTGTGTCCATTAATATTATTGTGTGGGTACGTTTGTTAATGGAGACCCTTAATAAACAATTGACTTCTGAATCCACATTATCCATTCCTTCCCTCCGTCCAACCGCCCTGTAAGAAATAAAATCAAAAGAAAAATACTTCTTAAACACAATTATTGGGCTATTAAGCATCCAAATCAAAAAAATGGTTATTTTAAGTAATCCATATAGTGATGCAATTGAAATATATAAAGGGTATTAGTTGTGCTAATTTATATGTTTTTTCATAAAAGTTTAAAACAGGTTTGTTTGTTAGGACTTGGGAGGGGGTGGATTAATAAGCAGGAAAAAGATCATCAATGATTAATTTTGAAAGCAAAAGCATTGGGCACAAATCCTGTCAATCACAGTATCAATCATTTTTGAAATCTTACAAGTCTGATCGACTATCCATTTTTAGTGGATTGATGTGTAAGAAAATATCCTGATAATGGGATAAGTTTTAAGTTTCACGAGGTCTTTTATGTTGCCCCCAT